TATATATATATATATAACTTATTGCTGTAGGGTATATGGGGGCGTCTCTGGGGATCTCGCGGCGAAACTAAAACGCTTGATAAATTTCTTTGTACGATTCATCTTCGGGATCCCAAGGGAAGCCTCTGTTTCCCGTTTTTATGTAGAGTTGAAGTGGCTTTACCCTTCCTACCGTCGTATTTCCTGGCATCCTTCCTCTTTCAAGTCATCCAATCCCACCGACCTTCATACATCTCCGAGCTCCTCCAATTCAAATCCTCTGTTCGCTCCCACAATACTCGTTCCAGGTCTTCTGGTTTATACATATTATATATAAGGACCCACCGAACCGCTGCTTTCGCCAGATCATTCATTATCCGATACTCATCCTTATGGAACTCCATCCCTTCCCACATCCGTCAATCTAATACCCTTACTACCTTTAAATACCGCCTATTCAATCATTTCTTATCCATCCAGTCCCCATAAAATTGTAAATAGATACCACTGAAAATATTTATATAAATTATTAGATTGTTCTTCATGATTTTTACTTTATTTTAAAATATTTTTTCATTAACTTATTTAAGCTAGAAAATAACATATAATTTTTAATATGACTATTTCATTACTGAACTTTTTTTTTTATGTATCTCTGATGCTCCTTGGCCCACATTACTGTCCTTATGTATTATTCTAAAGGGACTTGTCCCAGAATAAATAAAGTATTATTATATATATATATATATATATATTTTTTTTTTTTTTTTTTTTTTTTTTTTTCTTCGGTAGGCTCTACAGACCTTGTAGATCTTTGGCTGCCTGAACCAGCCTTCTCAACCTCTACCTATCATGGGCTACTGCTTTCCAGTTTGCGGCATGAAGCTCAGCCATATCTTTGTTTATCCTATCTATCCATCTGGTTTTTGGCCTCCCAGGTGGTCTCTTGCCTACTACTCTGGCATTCATTGTCGTGTAGAGGCGTCCTGATGGATTACTACAAGCTACATGCCCTGCCCATCTTAACCTCCTTGCTTTCATGTCATGAGATATTGACTGACCCGTTTTTTCAGCAGTTCTTTATTGTTCCTTCTCCTCCATGTATATATATATATATATATATATATATATATATATATATATATATATATATATATATATAAACACAATTTTATTAATAATTGTGGGTAGATGGTTGACTGTCGTGAATAATGAAGAGAAGAATAGTTGGGGTGGTCAGTCAGAAATAAGAAGGCAAAAAATAAATGATAATATTTATTTTAAATAGCTTTCTAAATAAAAGATAAATAGCTTTCACAATTTTATTAATAATTTATTATATATGTACATATATATATATATATATATATATATATATATAAACATGGTTTAGTTTCTCTAATGAGGTAACTGTTAACCACTATGTCTTTTAGGCGTGTTTTCCTACTTATCTAAGCAAAAAAAAATTAATTTATAAGCTGTAAAACACATTTTAGCATTGAAGGTAGGACAAAGGGCGGAGTCTAAATTGAATTGAACGAGATCACGTAGTTAGGATGAAAGCCACTAGAGACTGCTGGAAAAACAGACACTCCTTCCTCTCTCTACAGCCTAGGACTATAACATTTGACGTGAAGTCAAACCCCGAGATCAGGTTATCACGGCAGCTCGGTTCCTGCACTGTCAAGATACCGAAGCAATGAGTGAGAGCTCCCATCTACAAGATGCCGACAGCCCATGTTGAGCTGAAGAATGGGGATTCTATTCATGACAAGTTAATTTAGCCATCGCTTGTGCTCACTATAAGTACACTGGGCTCTCTCTACTGGCCGCTTTGTCTTTTCTTTCGTTCAGGGGTCTTTTTGCTCGCTCACAGTTAAGGCTGACTAATACCTTTTTCTTTGGACACTCCTTTAGAAGATGGCCAAATGGTGCACAAGATATGCAAACTATGGCATCCACTGTGGAAGTGGACTCAGTGGGCGTCAAGATGATCTTTAAAGGTCATCGACCATCATCCTCCATCAGCGCTTCCTATTTCTAATATCTGGAATCTTACAGATGGGTGCACTTCTAGCACCCCATTCCCAGCCAGTGAGGGGGAAAACGGCTAAAGATTATCAATGACTAATCGAATGGGGACAGACTTCTAGTTTATCTTTCTCCACACAAATCGAACCTGGGTCTTTAAGTCCCAGGAGTGAGGTACACCTTTTACCTCTATCCTGGGCTTCTTCTTCAATGCTAGTATAGCTTTCAGTATTTTATTTCTGAGTTCCTGCCATCCAAATACAGAGCCTGCCTTGGTTGCACGTACTATTGCATCCTTCATGGCTATATCTATAGGGGACGGTAAGCCGTTAAGGGCTCTTATTGGCCACACTGATGGTGACATATGTCAGTTTATGAGCCTGGGTTGGCTCAAACGACTAATAATCTCTGACAAGTTCTTGGGCTTCATTGCAGCAAGACTCACTCGGCGGCTCCATCTTAGGCGTTTATTTTTCTTTAACCCTCAGCTTTAGCTTCATTTATTTTTTCTTCGGTCTCTTTTCCATATTTTAGTAGAGAGAGGTTTGTCCGGGAAATAAAGCTGGATTTTGGTTTAAAAAAAGGGAAAGATTTACAACGGTTTTATTTAATCAAAATAGTCTCCACTACTATTAATACATTTCTGCCAACGTGTTGGCAACTTTTCCATTTCCTCTGAATAGAATTTCCCATATTTAGAGCTGATAAACTCAAAAACGCTTTTTCTAATTCTCTTTGTCCATTAATTTTTTGGTCACGTGAATAGTGGTCCAGGTATCTAAAACAATGATAATCCGTAGGTGTGAGGTCCGGAGAGTAGGGCGGATGTGGTAGAGTTCCATATCCAAGCTTCAACAGTTTTTGTGATGTCGTAGGTGAGACATGTGGCCGGGCATTGTCATGCAAAAAATTGGACTTTCCGCACCTTAAGATTGACCAAAGATGGCTTCATTATTGCCAACGTCTAATGCATTGTATTAATTTAGTTACATTATGATTCGGCATTGATGGTTTCTCCAGGTTTTAAGAAGCTGTAGTGTATAAAACCAAATAAAACCCACCAAACATTAGCCATCGCCTTTTTTTATATGTTGGAGGCTTAGTAAAATGTTCTGCTTCTTTTCTTTTGTCGAACCACTATCCAAAACGTCGCAAAATATCTACTTTTCATCACAAGTAATAATTCTGGACAGAAAAGAGTCGTTCACAAACTTCATAATCCAAGTTTTTTTGGCGGTCGTTTTATGTGTGTGGAACCCAACTTTCAAGCTTTTTTACACCTTCAATCGTCTTGAGGTGGTGATCGACGGTCGATTTGCTAAGGCCAAGTTTCCTGCAAGTTCTCCAACAGTTGTTCTTAGGTTTTATTCCACCAAAGCCCGCAGAACATCGTCATCAAAAAGGAAGTACTTCCACGACATTCTTTGTTTTTAAGGCTGAAGTCTCCCTTCCGAAATTTTTTGAACCATTTTTTGAATTTATTGAACAGTCCACTCATTAATGCTGCTCCCGCTCTTGACTTGATTGCTGTTTCTGGTCTTCTGGACCGCATTCCAACTGAGTTTAAACTCGTAAAACAAAATTTTATGAAAATCACACGTTGACATCTTAGTCACTAGACATTTGCGAATCCAGGATTTAATTTTGTTGGGGCTTCAGCCCAAAAGTTTTTTTTTTTTTCATGTGTATAACTATTATTATTTTGAAAAAAAGAAAGATACTAACTATAAGTATACGAAATGGTGTTTAAGTGATTCTTGAAGTCCAATTAAATGTAATTACACATACAATAATACTTTAATAGATATTTTTTCCATAAAACATGGTTACATTTTACCATTTTGGGAGGGCTATAGTCCAAAAGCACCTCCCCCATAGATCCACCTGTACATAAAGGCCTATTTAAAAAAAAACAACTCAAAATGCTGCATTATTTTCTGGACAACCTTCATATTTCTGGACATATTTCATTGGAAGGTCCTCCAGCAGTCAGTGGATGTTGAGGTGATGAAAGCCCCTCCATCAGCTCCGGCACTGAATGCTTAACAATAATTTTTGTAAACATAGAATGCACAGTCGGATATGCAAGTGATTGTTTTACTGTCCATTGGACTAGGACAGAAATGCTTTCAGACTTCTGGCATTCTTTTGCCTTTTCCAAAATGGTTTCGATCACATCAATTAAGAACTGAACCTTGCAGTAAATGTAATATTGAACCGTACTGTTCACGTCCTTATCAACATTTTTAATATATATTAAAAATGTTAATAAGATACAAAGAAACATTACAACGTATATACGCTGAGGTTCTCTTGTATTGATTTCACTTTATGGAGTAAGCAGTTGCTTTTAGCCTCCTCAGACACATTTGAAACATCATCATGAGAGCCCTTTCAAGCTCTTTTGGTATTATGTCTTGAAGCCCTTGGGAGCTCCTCTCCTCTTCCACCTCCATTTCCTCAGTATGTACTTTCCACTCTGTGCACTTTCTTTCTTCAAGTCTTCCTCTGTTTACACAAAATAGCAATAATTAACCATTAGAATATGTCCGACAGTACAAAAACAAACAATTAAAACACAATATAGCCTTAAGAGCATTCGGTAAGTAGGTCGAACTGCATGAATTGTATCCAGTTAATATAATTGAAGAGATTATATTGCCACAAATAAAATGTGTGTCAAATTGTTGGGCTTAGGAATGAATGAATCCCTAAAAGGTTAATAAGCGCTGTACGGACTGGTTAACGTCCAAGGGTAGACAGAAGCAAAGGTGGGAAGATTGCGTTAAGGTTGATCTGGTGGGGTTGGGTTTAGATAGTGATCGGTTAAGGGAGATGTGTAAGCAGCATTTGGTGGTTTTGGTAATGAACCTTCGGGTTTGCTTAGCCTTTTATTATTATTATTGTAACTGAAACATTTTGTAGTTTTATTACTTGACATTTCATTATTCAATCATGCAGTGACAAAATATTGAAATTAGACAAGTAAGAAAAGAAAAATCCACAGCATTAGTTCTTTATTTCATATTCTTATTTAATGTACAGTATGATTTCTCTTAATTATTAAAATTAAATAATCATTTCCAGTCCATTCTAAGAAGTTTTTCAGAAAGATTATAAAGCTGGATTAAGATCCAGAAACCATAATGAGTATAATAATGCCTTCATTATAAGTATCCTTTCAAAATAAAAACATATACTTATTAATGTTTGAACAATGAAGAAAACATTGCAAATAAACTACACCTAAATAATTTTAAAAAAATTTTAAGTTGAATATCACTTGCAGCCACATCTTTTAGAATACATTTTCAAAACTTTTTTAATTCAAATGCATAAATTATGAGGAAAACTAAATCTGACAGGTATAATTTTAATTTAGCCTGAAAACAATAGAACATTAATTAGGCCACAAAAAAATTAATGATTACAAAAATTTAACTGTATTTAAAGTTTTGTTAAAAATAAGTCATTAATTGTGCCTTTCAGGTGACAGAATGACTAACTCCAATTTAAAATTGTTGAGTAATTCATGTGTCAGTCAGTCATTTTAATGATATTTCTAGCTGGAAAATTTATAATATCTGTACAGACAATGATTAAGTTGATTCCAGAACAGGTGAATGCAGTGTTGAAATATAGAACTATGAATAAAGGTATACATTTTCATACTAGAAATATCACTAAACTAAAATTAATAATAAAAAATGTTGAAATTGGAGTTAGTTATTCTGTCAACTGAAAGGCTCAAATAAGACATTTTTCATTTCCAATAACATGTACTTAAATTTAAAGGAACATACAATGCTTAAAAAATGTAAGCATTGCACTTAAATTATGGAAAGATTCCAAAAACTTTTATTAATGATACTATATTTGAGGATATGATAAACTGAATAAAATTGATTAACAAACCAAATATGTATTAAGTACAAAGGACATTAAAAAATTATTATTACTTAAAAAAAAGAAAAAAAAAACTAAAGTCAAAGTATAAAATTGGCCGTTACAAATCACTGCATAAGCTCATATAACACAAAGTGAAACTCTCCGGAATGTTATCTATAAAATCAAACACATCCACACACGTAAACATATCCACTTGTCTTTCTTCACACCATTAAATGCTAATGTTCTTGAAACATAAGTTTTGTAATTACAAATAAATTAAGGACTACATAGGTACATTAGAAAAAAATATAACTAAACAGTTCTTTTCAACACTTTCACCTTTTCAACATGAAATGGTAGTGATTTTTAATATCTATCTCACTAATAACTGATTATGTAAAATTTCTAAAATAATGAATGAAAATTTTAAAGAAACAATTATTTAAATAAAAAAAATAAGATCTTCAATTTGAAATAATACGGTAACTTTTTTCTCTAAAATGTTTAATATTTTTAGATAATTCATTCAACAAGTTAGCTAAAATATGATTTGTAATTAAATATATGGTTTTCTTATATTATGTAAAATGATTGTAGCAGAACATATTGATAACACCTAGCAAGTGATCTAATTATGATACAAAAATACTCTTGTTTTTTTTCTCCCAAATTTTAGTAACATAAATATTGTTTTTGTTCTTATTATTATTTTATTAATTTCTTATAACCAATAGCATAACCGACAAATTTAATAAACGTTTTTAAAAAATAGGTATAAATGGTATTAAACATAACCTGTCCAGTCCTTTTAAATTCTAAAATGTTTAGATTGAATGTACTTTGGATTGAGCCTACTTTTCTTGCTTTTTGAGTGCTTTTTGAGTGCTTGGCATTTTGAGTGGCAATAATAAATAAGAGAATAGGGAAATGAATTATTTTTTAAAAATATTTATTGTGCCTGATAAGAATTTGTCTTAAAATTTCAAAGTTAATCCAATCCATCGAGAATTCCGGATATAGAGTTGCTGTAGGAATACTTCAATAGATAACAAACCCTATTTATTCAATTTAAATATCATTCTGATATTCTAAACATCCTAGAATTTCAAGAGTTGCAGATTATCTGAGAACTATATATGTATGTATGTATGAATGTATATATACACATATATATACATATACATGCATACATAAATACATACACACACACACATATATATATACACACACACTATATGATTGAATAACTAGCTAAATATGTTTGGATTGCATTCTTTGTGTGTTTAACTTTATTTTCTTATAATTCTTGACCGCTCAAGCCAAACCTAAAGTTTCCAAAAATAAAATTAAGGCATAAGTAAATGCACAGCCTCTCACAGAAGTGGCTTATTGCTATTAATAATCAATTATAGAAGGCAATGTTCCAAAAAAATTAGATTAATTTTTTTAAAAACTAGTACTGAATTATAATATACATAATTAAATAATCTAACTTAAAAAATAGAAAAAAATTAATTTATGACAAAAATAACTATGATATATTTATTTTATTGTATTGTATGGCGATGGTACTTATTAGCTTGAAAATGGTAATTACAGAAATAACGACACTTAAAGTAAATTAATTTTATTAATCAATCTGACTCATCAACTTTTTGATTTTGGTCCTGAGATATTGCAGGTTTATCCCTTGGTAAATAATAAACTATATTATCAACTAAATTTTCTCCCATGGATCCTTTATATTGTAAAGAAACTCCTTTAAGGAATATCACAATGATAACGGTCATATTGTCAGATCCAATTCCACCCATTTGGCCATCAGGAGCTAAACAGCACTGCATAAGTTCTTCACAAATAGCATCAGGTTTCATCCCATTTATTATTCTTTCATGAACAAAACTACAAACTTCCTAAAACAAAAAGTAAATTTACTACGCATGATATATATTGGTAGTATATTATCAATGTTGCACAATGGAAAAATTTCGTAGTCACGACATGGTGCCTGGTTCAGAGCTGTTTCATTCCCACCTTCTGTCAGCTTGATTCACCCCATCAAATGAACTTGACATTCCACTCTGGTTTGTTTTAAGTGGAAACATCTCAGTAGGTGTCAGTGGTTGGAAAAAAGGAGCACATGCCAGATTCTATTTCCCAACCAATACCAGTGCCAATAATATAGTAAGAGGGTACTATACATTGATATTCCACAACATATTAAAAATAAAATTTTACTGAATAACAAAATCAACATCGACAATGAACTGAGATCTCAATAAAAAGTGATTACAGGATTTTCAGAAAACATAACATTTTTTTTTCCAATTCTAATCAATATTTTAAATAAATGCTTACCCAAGCATCTTAAATTGTAAAAAAATACTGAAGAACGGTTACTTTTAAAAGAGAACTTATTAACATACCAATAAATGCATTTTATTGATTTTGAACTCAGAATCAATAAAATACTTCGAAATATAAAATAAATAAATGTTATGTTGTATGACAGCCAAGAATGAATTATTTCTAGCCTGTATTTCTGATCCATTTTCTTGGTTACTTTTAATAGTTTCTACGGAATTTCTGTTTAGTTATAGGATTGCAACTATTTTTTTATTTCAATAATTTATCCATAAATAAAATAAAATAAATTTAATCTTTTGTTGACTACACAAGTTATCAGTTGATAAGCAGAGAGTAGCCAACATATTAAACAGCTTGATACCAATTAAAGAATAGTAAGTACCGATAACACTGGGCAACAATGAAAATGCTTCGGACTCAAAAATATTCAATTCATATGTATTTCAAACTGCTGAATTCAAAAATCACCATAAAAATGACAGATTAGCTCTTGCTTTGGAGATAAAGTGATATTTCATTTTTTAGAATCAACATTTTCAGTTTGGGAATTTTTTTTTTGGGAGTTGGTCAAATCTGCCAAATAACAAAACACAAATGCTCTTCAGCTTTTCATAAGTTATAAACATAGTTACTGTTGCCGTGACTTTGAGTTTCATCATATAGTTTTTGCTGTGATTAATGCAGAATTTCTGGTTTGAACCATCTTTCTTCTATTCCTGTTGGTCATGCAGTTTACATGAAGGAAACATGCAAATATGACAGCCCTGTTGGACTCCCTCAAATATCATGAACAGAAATGGAAAATCTATGGTGATCTAACAGTCATTGCCATACTCTTAGGAATGCAACTGGGGTACACAAAACATTGCTGCTTCTTATGTATGTGGGACAGTAGATAGGAAATTGCATTATATTAAAGGAGACTGGCCTGCAAGAAATCTTAACCCTAGCGAGAAAAATGTTGTTGCCAAGCCTCTCATGGATCCAAAAGATGTTCTACTTCCACCCCTACTTATCAAGCTGGGTTTAATGAAAAATGTTGTCAAAGGTATGGACCAAGAAGGAAGGGCCTTTAAGTACATAAGAGAAGAATTTCCAAAATTAAGTGATGCAAAAGTTAAGGAAGGCATTTTTGTTGGGCCAAAAATTCGAGTACTTGTGAAGGATCCTGCATTTGACCAAGTTTTGGAAGGAAAAGAAAATGAAGCTTGGTAAGCTTTCAAGGGAGTTGTTTGTGGATTTTTAGGCAACAAAAGAGATGACAACTACACGCTTTTGGTGACAGTGCTTCTGCAAAAGTAACATAACCTTGGATGCAACATGTCCCTTAAAATCCATTTTCTCCACTCCCACCTAGACTTTTCCCTTCTAGTTGTGGAGCTGTTAGTGATGAACATAGAGGAAGATTCATTCCATCAGGACATTTCTATTATCGAACAAAGATATCAGGGCAATTGGCAATGGCAACAAATGAAGCAATGCTTGCGGATTATTGTTTGTCTTTGTGTGTGGATGCTCCGGAACTCCCTTACAAGAGGCAAGCTAAAAGACGAACGTCTCGTGAAGCCACCACATAATCTCTTCAGACACAACCATCTACGAGGTATTCTACCAGCAATTTAGAACTTTTAGAATGTAACTACCATTTTGAAAAATCAAATGCACTTTCAATGTTGTTAGCATATATAATTAAAATGTATCTTTTTCTCTTAACTCGTTAATATGAAATACTTCCACATAGTGTTTATCACAGAAACTAGATCTAAGAAAAAATTTTCATTGTCATATTCGTTTTCCTCAACCAAAAATTAGTAGGTATTGACTCATGATGTGCCGAAAACATTAAAAAATTTGTTTTGTTGCCCAGTGTAATTTCAGATCCCTGTAAGTCAATTATCAAAGTCAAACTTACTGCCTAGCGTTGTTTTGGTGGAACCCAACACCCTTCCGATTTGGAAGTTCTGGGCGTTTATTTATGATTGAGTGGTCCAATTTTGTTAATTGTGAGCAGTATAGAGTTGAATCAATTGTTTGTCCTGATGGCAATAGCTCATAGAATATAATATCCTTGAAGTCCCACTATATGGAAAGCATTATCTTCTTTGGATGTAATCCAGGTTTGATATTCTTCTAGGAGTCTCACTACTAAGTCACTTCCTAAAATATCCATTTTTCATCTCCCGTCACCAAACTTTTCAAAAATGGGTCACTTCGTTGCCGTTTCCGTAGTGAATTACAAATAAAAATGTGTGTTGCGAAGTTGACTTCGGTTCGAGAGTGAGGGACTTAAACATTAAAGAATATTTGAAATAAAATTTGAAGAAAACAATACCTTCTCACTTCACATGTAAAATCATGGCCAGATGTAAGAACACCATTAACAGAATTTCTCCAGGAAAAGATCAAAGAAATATGAGACTACATTGAAAAAAAAACTAATGATATTGTGCAGAAATTATATGTAAATGCACCAAAGGAATTCATAAAGCATTTCTTCAAGCTTGATTAAAATTTCATACCAAAAAATTGATGAAAAATACTATCTAGCAACACACTACAATAGTTTGAGGATAAATAGTTAATTCAAATCTAAATTATACCCAAATAATTATCATATACAAGAAATTAGACTGATGTGAGATCATAATAAACAGTATTAAAGAAAATGAATTAATGATGTACTTCAAAGCAGCTAACCAATCAGGAAATTAGAAGTTAATTAAATTAAAGAAAATGCTGACCAGCAAAAGAAAATAGAGTGTTCAGAAAAGGATTTTCTGAATAATAGGATCAGTGTATGCCAAGAAGCTTCAAAGGAAGAGGATATAAAATATATGATGAGGAAAATAATTAATATTCAATATGGGTCTAGAAGTCAGCAAGAGGATGGTGTACATGGCCTACAACCAGATAAAATCATAAATATAGAAGGCCGGACACTGGACCCAAATCTGAATTAATGTACTTAAGAAGGTGAGTGAATGCAATAGACACAGATAGTTTGTTCCTTGAAAGGAAAATAAGTAATTACCTAAAAATAAATAAAATGAAATAAAAAAATTCTTCAGAACATCTTAAAATAGATAATAGATAAATAAAACAGATGTTAGATAATATAGATATATATTTTTAAAAAGATATTCTTTTGTTTTAAAACTCACTTCTGATGATAACACGTCCCAAATTCCATCACAAGCTAAAACAATGAATTCCCAATCATCCTCTATAGATCTTTCTATTACATCAGGAAAACCTATTAAGAAAAACAAAATATTACTCAGGGATTATATTTTAATCAGAACCATTAAGATTGGGAACTCCTATAAAGGTTTGATAACATTTAACAAAAACATATTCATTTTTTTGTTGCAGAATCCATAGTTCAAACACAACAACAACCATCTATATCAACTTCATTATTTAAAAAAGGAAACAATATAATCAGATTATAAATTTCATTTCACAAAGAATTGAAACTTTTTTTTTAAAAAAATCTCCTCATGCATCATGCACAATAGATTGGAAAAAAAAAATACATAAATACAATTTGGAGCATTTCTGATAACATTTTTTAAATATACTTTTGAATGCAGAATCATGCATTAATTACTATGAATTATACATTAGTTAAGTACATTTGTGATGAACTATATATATATATATATATATATATATATATATATATATATATATATATATATATATATATTATATATATATATATATATATATATATATATATACATATATAAACTTAATAGAATAGTTCTGAAATAGAGTAGCTATGCCATTACCCTGATTTCTATAAAAAAAAACCTAACGTTTCTGTGAAACAAGCGAGAATGAGTAAATGGGTTGTACATATTATTGATTTTATACTTTTCAGAATCTTCTAAAAAAACTGCTTTTATATCAATTTACAATTAAATAATATTTAATATCAATTAGGTATTAATCTCATTGTTCCAGAGAGTGATCCAGGTTTGATATTCTTCTAGGAGCCTCACTACTAAGTCACTTTGTAAAATATCCATTTTTCATCTCCTGTCATCAAATTGAAAAATAACTTTTCAAAAATGGGTCACTTCATTGCCGTTTCCGTAGTGAATTACAAATAAAAATGCCAGCCCAATACATTATTCATTAATAGTACTCAAGGGAGGGGGTGAGAAGAAAAATATAATTTTTGATCCTTATGGATTAATAGTGAATAATAAAAATAATAATAAAAGGCTTAGCGAACACGAAGGTTCGATGCCGACACCACCAATCGCTTATTATACACCTCCCTCCACCGTTTGCCTAGTCCCTTCAGATCAGCTTTAATGCAATCTTCCCACCTTCAATTCGGTACAGCCAAATATAAGCCTTTAGGAATTCTCTCGTTACTGAGCCCAACAATTTTACAAGCCCATTCGCGGATATAGTTCACACAATTCGGTCCGAATATTCTATTCAATACTTTATTTTCAAAAATCTTAAGACGTTGCTCATCCCTTAATGTAAGTGGCCACGTTTCGCAACCATAAAGAAGTGTAGGTAAGACAAATGTTTTATAGATTCTAGTTTTTAAGTTCCAAGAGGCACAAGCTAGGTAGTTTTGTCACAGAAAAATAACAAGCATTTCCCCCCTTCAGTCTAACCTTAATCTCTTCTTCAATTTTGTTTTTTCTAGTTATCGTAGACCCTAGATACCTAAACTTCTCTACCTGTTCAAACATTTTACCATCTATATCGATATCACCATTTTTGCAGCTAACCATATATTTTGTCTTATCTGTGTTTATTTCGAGACCAAGCATTCATTAATGTTGCCTTATTTAGTTTTATAGTTTCCACGTCTTCATTTAACAGTACCAGATCATCTGCATAGCCCAGCACGGGTGTTGTCCCACCCAGATCCAACCCTTTTTCAGTACGCATTACCTCCCTAATGGCATGTTCTAATGCCAAATTGAACAGGACAGGAGAAAGAGAATCTCCCTCTTTTAAACCCAAACAAACCTCAAACTTTTCGGACAGATTATTACCGATTCTAACTTTATTGAATGTTTCCGTCAAGCACATCTTGACTAGATTTACTAATAAAGAAAATATTTGATCAATAGTCGAACGATTCCATCTAAATCCGCATTAGTAGTATCTGATAATTTCCTCGGCGTATTCCGTGATTCTACTAGTTAAGATTAAAATGAATATTTTATAACATACTGGAAGGAGTGAAATTCCTGGATAGTTATTACAATCCATCCTCGGAACCTTTTTGTGAATCGGAATAAGAATAGATTCTTTCCATTATTCAGCTAATTTCTCATTCTCCCAGATCTTTTTAACCAACCGATGTATTTTAGAAACTTCAGCTTCCCCGCATGCCTTAATTAGTTCAATAGGAATATTATCGTTTCCCGCTATTTTATAAGATTTTAATTTTCCGATAGCTACTTCAACTTCCTCTTTGAATTTCCTTATGGATTAACTTATTTTAATATAAAGTCAAAATAAATAAGACATGGATAAAAAAAATACTAACATTATATAACTGAGCTATTACTATTATAGTTAAACATGAATATGGAAATCTAAAAGCTCCTAAAATTATTTAATGGGAATAAGAAAAAATATTACATGTTACAGCTTGTTCTTTCCAGCTCTTAGAAGAATTTTGCTTATAAGAAAAATCACCAAGGGCTCGAGATAGTGCTAGATTGCCATTTATTCTGTTAAATTCTACATAAGCCCCAGCTGACGTTATTCTTGATCTTTCAACTGGATTAGTGGGTTTATGGTCAAATGAAAGAGGAACAACTTCATTATTAACAAACGCCACAGCCCTTGAATCTCCTGCATTAGCCTATAAAAATAACATAAGCTAGTTTAAAAATATATACTTATTAAATTATTTTTAATTTCAGATAATTAAAAACTATACTATAGTTTTAATGCCAATAATCAAAATAATATCCATATTGATTCTCAACTAAACCTCCTTGCTAGAAATTACAAAACTGGTAGAAATACAATCTTAATTTCTAAAAATATGAACTTGCAAATGAAGGATTTATTAAAAATTTATATTTTACTAAGGAGATAAAATATTTTTTATGAGAATTTTATAATAAAATAAATGTTTTTACTAAGAATAAAAAGTATATCACATGAGAAGAAAATAATTTATTTATCACTAAAAACAAATATGTTTTAATTGAAAAAAGAAATGATATATAAGTATCACAGACACCTGGCTGAAAGGTACAGTTTTCAACTTAAATGCACTGATAAAAAAACGAGGTATCGAATATTACCTTCTCTCTAGGGCCATGGGAAGAACAAATAATAATAATAATCATAGAAAATGTACTAAAATGATCTAATTTGCGTTTATATCTTTTGAATTTTCTGGAAAGTCTTTTCATATCTCTTTGATTTAATTTTTAGCTACTAGACTTCTTCAATAATTTTGTTTTATTTGAGAAAAACCAAATACAATTATTTTGTTACTGTTAAAGGAATCATCCTAATCTCCAGTGCATCTTGTTAACAATAGCCAGTGACAGACTCTTTTTTGTCATAAATTACAATATCCATACTTACAAGGGAACGTTACAGGTCACCGATTTCAATAAAACTTTTTTTGGTGATACTAAATCGAAAAATATTAGATCCATATCCGATGGTTCTTGCAAATGCGCCCTAAAAGCCGTGAAAAAAACAATTATAAAATTTTAAACAAAATTTGTTATTAATGTTTGCCTTTGCTGTGCCCGGATAATTAGGTTATTAGTAGAGATTGACCGATAGCAACATTAATATTGGCATATCGGCCTTTAGGCTAATTATCAGTATCGGCCGATATTAAACGCCAATTTGCCGATATATCTGCTTTTTTTTTCTCATCTCCGATTTTGAGCAGATACGGATATCCTAAAGACCAAAATATCAACTTTATGACCTTGTTTTAATGAGATTGGTAGAGTTGGACAAATTTTTATTTAAATCTTTTTTTCCTTGCCTTCCCTTTCTTCTAATTTGGGCAATACCGATATTCCAAAGACCAATATATTGCCCTTACGACCTTATTTTGTGAAGATTAGTAGAATTTGATTTCTTCTTTTTTAACTTTTTCATTTATTTTTTTATGTACCACTACCCAATTTTCTGATTATCATTTTAAACCTATATATTGGCCTCTTTCACATTGAATATTATTTTTATTGCTCATAAATATGTCAATCATTCATCGAAGGATCAACATAAGTATAAATTTGATTAAAGACCGATATATTGGCCTTATGATCTTATTTTATTAAGAGTAGATATTGACTGATTATTGTTTTTTTTTTTTTTTGCTCATCCTCTCCTCAGATTCTCAGCAAATACAGATATCCTAAAGACCGATATATCGGCCTTATGACCTTATTTTAATGAGATTGGTGGAGTTTGACCGACTATTATTTTTTTTTTCCCACCTTTTCTAAGATTTTCAGCAGATAAGGATATCCTGAAGAGCGATATACCGGCCTTAGGACCTATTTTAATGAGATTGGTAGTTTGATTGACGATTGCTTTTTTTTTTTTTTGTTTTTTTTTGCTCATCCCTTCCTCAGATTCTTAGCAGATACAGATATTCTAAGGAGCGATATATCGGCCTTATGACCTTATTTTAATGAGATTGGTAGAGTTTGATTGATTATTGTTGTTGTTTTTTATATCATTATGACCTATTTTAATGAGATTGGTAGTTTGATTGACAATTGTTTTGTTTTTTCTCATCCCCTCCTCAGATTCTTAGCAGATACAGATGTTCTAAGGACCAATATATCGGCCTTATGACCTCATTTTAATGAGATTGGTAGAGTATGACTGACTATTTGTTGTTTTTTTTTACTCACCACCCTCTCCTCAGATTCTCAGTAGGTATGGATATCCTAAAGACCAATATATCGGCCTTATGACCTTATTTTAATGAGGTTGGTAGAGTTTGCCTTACTATTATTTTATTTTTTTTTTTGCTCATCCTCTCCTCAGATTCTTAACAGATATGGATATCCTAAAGACCGATATATCCCTCTTATGACCAACAGAGTTGGTCCAATTTTTATTGAATTTTTTTTCTGGCCCTCCCCTTTCCCTAATTTGGACATATAGCAATATTCCAAAGACCAATATATCGGCCTCACGAGACCTTATCTTATCAATCAGTCAACAATTTTCCAAAAACCTATATATCGGTCTGATGACTTCTTTTTAACGAGATTGGATCAGTTTAACGTTTTTATTTATTTTTTCCTTTCCTTTCCCTCATTTGAACAGATAACAATATTCCAAATACTAATTTATCGGCCTTAAGACCTTATTACAAGATTGGTTGAGTTTGATTATTTTTTATCTATTTATTATTCATTTTTTTTTTTGTCTTCCACTTTCTCTAATTTGAGTAGATATCGAAATTCCGGCTCTATGACCTTAACTGATATATCAGCCTTAGGAACTTTTCCATTTTGATTAGTAATAAAATAATATTTTAAATGGAATCTTGATAAAACATCATTGTGAGGCCGCTATATATATGGGTCTAAGGATAATTGTTATCTGCCAAAATTAGGGAAAGGGAAGGGTCAGAAAAAAAATTAAATACAAATTTTTAAAACTCTGACAATAAGGTTGTGAAGGCGATATATCGATCTTTGCTCGAATCAGGAAAAGTGAAGGTTTATAAAGAAAAAAATGATACATTGATTAAAAAATGGTCAAAGTCAATCGATCTAAATAAAATGAAGTCGTAAGGCCGATATATCGGCCTTTGCTCAAATTTATATTTATGTCAATCTTCTGACATTGGATTGAAACATTTATTAACAATAAAAATAATATTCCAACTTTAAATCTCGATAAAACATGGTCCTAAGGCCGATATATTGGTGTTTGAAATATCGTTATCTGTACGAATGAGGGGAAGGGGAGGAAAAAAAATGAATAAATAAAAAAAATGGTAAAACTCTAACAACCTCAATAAAATGGGGTCATCAGGACAATATATTCGTATTTAGAACGTTGGAATCTGCTCAAATTCTTTCTATTCCTTGGCGACTGTTTGACACAATTATTATCAATATAAATAATATTGCAAGTGAAACTCAATGAATCAAAATAAAATAAGATTGTAAGGCTGATATATCAGTCTAATGGGAGGACAAATATTTGTAAGATGAGGACCATAAAAAAAATAAAATAATAATAATAAAATAAATAAAAGGTCAAACTCAATCAATCTCAATAAATCAAAAGCGTTAGGCCGATATATCGGTCTTTGCTTAAATTTTTGTTCATGTATATATAAATTACGATAAAATAATAATAAATTATAATACTTTTTGAATTATAATAAATTAAAATCGTAAAGCCGATAAATCGATCCAATGAGAGTACTAACATTTTTTTTAAGAACAGGAGCACAAAAAAAATATGGTTAAACTCAACTAATCTTGATAAAATAAGGATGGTCTCTGTTCGGATATATTGGTCTTTGCTCAAATTTATGTTCATGTCAATTGATTGGCTCATTTATTCACAACAAAAATAATATTCCAAATTAAATTTTATGAATCTCGATAAAATAATCTCATAAGGACTATATATAGGTCTTTAGAATATTGGTATAAGCTGAAATTTTGGAGGATAAAAAAAATGTGTATATATCAGTTTTTAGAATATTAGTATCGGCTAAAATGTATATATAGACTTAGCCCTAGATAATTGATTGATACTTTCACGGAACCAATATATATGGAACGAAAGGTCGATATGTTGAAATATAGGTTTATCTCTCTTTTATCGGTCAAAACTTGTGTATAAGGCGATTTGTAGGTGGTCTATTAATTCTTTTATTTAGCAATGAGTATGATATGCCATGTGAAACTGTACAAACCTTAAAGAAAAGGGGAAAAAAAGGACAATATGCCTGAAATATCAGCCTTTTTAATATTTGTATCAGCCAAAAATTCGATATAGGTCTATCTCTAAAACTTAAACACAAAAAAAATATGGTTAATCATTAACATTCTTGGTAAAATAAGGTTGTGAGGGCGATATATTGATCTTTGCTCAAATTAGGGAAAATTGAGGTCTATGAAAAAAAATAATAAATTGATAAAAAATGGTCAAAGTCAATCGATCTAAATAAAATGAAGTCATAAGGCCGATATATCGGCCTTTGCTCAAATATATGTTTATGTCGATCTCTTGAGGGAGGATTGCAACATTTATTAGCAATAAAAATAATATTCCAACTTTAAATCTCGATAAAACATGGTCCTAAGGCCGATATATTGGTGTTTGAAATATCGTTATCTGTACGAATGAGGGGAAGGGGAGGAAAAAAAAAATGAATAAATAAAAACAAAAATGGTATAACTCTAACAATCTCAATAAAATGAGATCATCAGGCCAATATATTTGTCTTTAGAATGTCAGAATCTGCTCAAATTTATGTTTATGTCAATTTCTTGACGACTAATTGACACAGTTATTATCAATATAAATAATATTCCAAATGAAACTCAATAATTAAAATAAAATAAGATCCTAAGGCTCATATATCGGTCTAATGGGAGGAAAAAATATTTGTAAGATGAGGAGCACAAAACAGAAATTACTAAATTAATTTTAAAAAATTTAAAGTCTACTGATCTCTATAAAATAAGGTCTCAAGACCGATATATCGATCTTTGCTCAAATTTATGTTTATGTCAATCTCTTGATGTTGCATCGAAACATTTATTTGTAATAAAAATAATATTTTAACTTTAAATCTCGATAAAATATGGTCGTAAGGCCGATATATCGATGTTTGAA